TCTCTCTCTCTCGCATGCGTGTCTACACTTTCCATCATGAATAAAATAAACTAAAAAATCCTTCAGAAATATATTAGAATCTAACCACTTTTCACTAATCCAGTCTTGCCACTCTGGTCTAAACTCTGTTACAATTTCTCACCTGGGTTATTCTAACCACAAACTTCTCTCTAGCTTGCCATTGCTGGTCTTCAACACAGCAGCCAGGTATTTGTTTCAAGCATGGGTCGCATCATGTTGTCCCTCTTCCCCCAAAAACTCTTCAAAAGGTCTACAACTCACTCAAAGTAAAAATCAAAATCAGCAACCTTAAAGGAGCTCACAGGTATCCAAAATTCAGGTGTGTACCACAGCTCTAGCTGCGAGAGAGGACCTACTGCCAACCGCTCCATGCTCTAGCCTCCTCCGCCTAGCCGCTCTTCTGACACGCTGCGCATGCGCCTGTTCACATCCTACCCGGTTGTACGTTCGGTGCGGTTTCTTCTCTCCCTTTCTTGAGTCTTTGCTCAAATGTCACTTTATCATATCAGAGAAGCCGCCTTCAAACACACCAAATAACAAGGCAGTTCCCTGCCCCCCAGAGCATTTAATATCTCCTTACAGTTTAATTTTCTCCAGAGCATCTGACACACACACACACACACACACACACACACACACACACTGCTTACTCTCACACATTCTTAGAATATAAGCTTTGTGAGGTTGGGAATTTATTTCCCCCCCTCTGCTATACTTCAATTTTAGCATCAGTGTAGGACCAGTAGCAAGAGATCAATAACTATTAGTAGAATAATAAACAAATGAGGACATTCCTAAATCTCTTTTGTGGCAACCCCCATTTTAAAAAGACTCAAAGATACGAGATGATCTTGTACAATTATAATCTGTCAATTCCAAGACACAATCATTTTCCAGTGCCCAGGGACTAATTTAAATATAATTTGAAAATGGTTTCTACAACCTTCTGGAAGGGCCTTAGTGCCTACAAAGAAAGCAAATAGGTGCCATCTAGTGGCAAGAAAAAGAAATGAACATTTGTGCTACTTGAGTATATTTAACTTATTAGTAACAATCTAAACTGAAGTCCCTGGGGCCAGTGGGTGGCATGGTGGTTAGGCTGCTGGAACTCCCATATGCCTATGGTTTGAGACCTGGACCTGGAGGCTTGCAGTCTATGCATGTCCAGAATCCCAGGAGAATGGAGGAGAAGGTGTTACAGCCTGGCCAGCATCCCGGGGAGTAATTTCTTGCTTTTTGTCTGTCTTTCCAGTGAATGCACGTACCCTATAACTCTAAGCCCTCCCATCCCCCAAGATAAAAAACCTATAGTTCCTGATCCAGAAGCTTCTGCTTCAGCCTTCCACAGGCACAACCACCATGCCCAACCTGTTTGGGTTGGGCCTGAAATAGAATCTGGGTCTCCCGTGTGGCCTTAGCCACTATGCCATGATGCCCTCCAGGTTGTGCCTCTGTGGCTGGGCCTCTGACTCGCTTTTCACTTAGCAATGTCCCCCCCCCTCCCTAGAATCTGACTTCTTTCGATCCTCTTTGCTTTTCTTATTGTTTTGTCCCTCTCTTACATTTAAACTGGTCTCATAGTACTGTCCTAGGCCTGGGTGTATAATACAATGAAGTCTCTAGTTTCTGGGAATTTATATTCCAGTGAAAGTAGTATCTATGGTGGCGAAGTGGGAAAACACGCCAAATGATGCAGCAGTCTCTTCAGGCCAGATTTCTTTGCTTTCTTTCCCTTCCCTTTCTTTCTCCCTCTCTTCCTTTCTCTTTCTTTTTCTCTTTCTCTTTGTCTCTCCTCTACCTCTCTTATTTCCTCTCTTCCTTCTTTTGTTGTTCATAAAAACATCTTTTATTTTTTGAAAAAAGCTATGTTAACCATGGATTATTTTGTAAGCACACTGGCTGTTTGGTTTCAGGCTAACAAGCATGTGGAAAAATCAGGAATCCAGATCTAGACTGTGGAAATATTGGGTTGTCAGAAAAGTCATGATGTGTTTTTCTATACAAAAAGGCATCATGACTTTTTGGACAACCCAATACATCATGTCTTCAGTGTCATTAATATAAGTATATGGCTTTCATAACTCATATCATTATACTTACAGGGCTTTCAGCATTGCTTTAAAGAAATATTGTCTCTCTCTTCTTAAAGCTTATTTATTTCTTCCATAAGAGACAGTCATAGGAAGACAGGCACTCCCAATAGGGTGTGTACTCCCTGATCCATCCCCAGCTCACCAGGATCTTGGGTACACACGTGTGTGCCTGGCATGTATATGGAGACCTTGGACCATGAACTAAGGACCTTCCTATATGACTTCAGCATCATGGAGCATTGCATTATCTCTGTGTCTTTAGAGCAGATTTCTGAAGTCTGTTTAGCCGTTGTTCTGTACGGTTCTAGCACCAGAGGAATGAGCTTGCAGAAGAGTTAGCTTGCTGTTTTACAAAACATGGCTCATATCACTTATATGAAGAAATTAAGAAAAATAGTCATGTCCCTGCAAATTGATGGGGGAGACAGAGCTCGAGTATGTCTGTCAGTCTCATATTTGAAAAGTTAGATCATATCAGTTATTTGGTAAATTAAACCATTTAATTAGTCCACTTACAGAGTTTGTGATCTTTTTAGTCCCAAGTAGCTGGGATGAGGCTGGAAAATCTTTGTCTGCCCCCAGAATCTTTTCCTGCTCTAGTCTGTTCCCACCAATGATTAGACAAGTAAGAGACAGTGGTGAGACAGACCCAAGAAGGAGAAGAATCCTGGGTGCTGAAACTCAGAATAGTTCCTGGCCATTTCCCATAGAAGACAACTTAATCCGAATAGCTCTGGAGGCCAAAAGTTAGACCATGGAATATGACAAGAAAGCAGATTTCATACTAGTATAAAGAAACATTTTCTAAGAAGCATTTTTTTCCCCCCAAATGTCAAAGCCTTGGTTCTTCTCAGTGCATAGGTCCAAGCAGAAGCTGGATGAAAAAGTAAAGAGATTTATTGATGCTATTAAGATCCTCTGATTCTCTGAAAGGCTTTTCTATATTTTTGTGCGTGTGAAAATCTTCCCTGCTATTTAATTCTCTGTTCATATCCCACTTCCTTTTTTAGAACTGCAGCTTGAAGCCTCCTCTGCTATTAATATTTCCATCTTTTCTATCATTTTAAGTATGGATCAGTGCTTTAGCTCTTGCTATGTTAACTTTTCTTTTTTCCCTTTGTGATATGTTTTTTAGTTCCTTATTGATGCTAAACTACTTGAAGTCAGGGGACAACATCTTATCTGTCTCCCCACTGGCCTTGCCATTTAATCTTCATGGATTGAGATGGAGTGTTTGTGGTGGGGCATTGTAGACAGGCTACCACTAATTGCCTTGACTGGCATCTAAGCCCAAGATAGTTAGCCTTAGTCTAAGTTTGGTGGAGCAGCTCTTCAGTCAGATATCAGAGAAAGTGAAATTTTGGTTAATATTTCCTCCCTGTTAAGATTGCAATCAATTTTTAGAGTCAATAGCACTGGCTTCTGCTTTGAGGGGTGGTGGTTTCAATATGCCTGATATCTCTGGAAGTAGACAGAGAAATAGTATAACATTTCATAGGAGGCTACTGAAATTTTTAAAAAGACTGATTTTTTTTGTCATTCATGTACTTTAAATATTAAATATTTTATAATTTTCTTCTCCTTGCTTTTTTTTTTTTTTTTTGAGAGAAATATTTTTGCTGTGAGGCATGTGCACTTGCCAGAGAGACAGAAAGTGAGAAATCATCTCTCGGGGGTATAGCCACACTGCAATCCCTTCATCCCTTCTCTGTTCTCCTCTCGCGATTGTGGGCACACACACACGTGTGCCTGGAATGAGTTTTAAGTCACCGGGTCTGGGACTGGAACGATGGTAGACTATGTGGGAGTCTAGAGACGCAACGATTACATCATCTGCTGGCCCCACTACTGATTTTTTAAAGATTACAAATAAATATTTTCTTTGGTGTAACACTTTTTTTTTCCTTGAGAAAAATGTCTTCAATTACACAAGTTGATGTGATACTCAGAATTATAAAATTTTAAGCTAACACATTCCATATTATATCTTTTTAAACAATCAAGCAGATTTTGTTTCTAAATATCTTTCCATCAGAAGATAAATGAAACTTGAAAAAGTTCATGGAAAAATGGAATTAAAAATCTGAGTTTATATTGGTGCAAAAATGATTTGACATTTACAGTTTTTCATAATATATATTTTCTATAAACATTTTGAAGACCTCTGGTATTTATATCTTAACATTTTATCTTAATAAAACATTGATATTAAAAAGGGAATCCTAGCAGGATTGAGAGGTAGACTTCACATGTACTCTTGATCTAGTTTCTTTGACAATCAGGTTTGTTTTTATCGCTTGTACAGTCAGAATTCTCTCTTTCTCTCTCTCTCTCTTTCTCTCTCTCTCTCTTTTTTTTTTTTTTTTTTTTTTTGAGAAGTTTTTGCTATAGAGTACATGTGCTCGTCAGAAAGACAAAGAGAGACAGAAAACAAGAAATCACCCCCCAGGAAGGATGGCTATGCCACAATCCCTGCTCCTCCATTCTTCTGTTGGGCTCTTGGGTACATACACATGCATGCACACACACCTGGCGTGAGTTTAAGCCACTGGGTTGGGACTCGAACCATGGTCAACTACATGGAAGTCCAGCAACATAGCCATTATGCCAACTGCTGGTTCCAAAATTCTCTTTAAATTATTTAATAGGCTATGTGGGCTGGGGGCTTTTTATAGTACTTAATTGCCTATGTGAACATTGGCAAATATAGTATCCATAGCATTTGCCTAATATTTTCAAACATCATCTATGACTTCTAGTAATTGCTGTGTTCTCATTATGCTGGGTGAGGAGACAACATTGGCTACTTTGACTTAAAGAAACATTATTCCTTATGATTGTGTCAAAAACACATGAATTTAGATTGTGCTAATTTGTCTTTTATAGAATATGGTGAATTTCTGCATTGCAAAGGAAAAAAATTTACAGATTTTGATGAAATTCGCCATGAGATTGAAGCAGAAACAGATCGAGTGACTGGAGTGAATAAAGGCATTTCCTCCATACCCATTAACTTACGAGTCTATTCCCCACATGGTAAGTACAATAATAGAATTCCAAATTCTTCTATTTTTGTTTACTCCATTAATTAACGTATGTTATTTGTACAGGAGATAATGTTTCGATATTGCCATGAATGGTATGGTTCAAAAAGCTCATAGGATATTTGTGGGAGTGGCAAAAGGAGATGACTTTAAAAATAAAAATGGAGTTATCTAAAAATTTCTTTTATTTTTATTATAAACCTTTATGATCTGAAAGAGGTATGCCCCAAAGTTTATATCTTTCATATCTTCAGTTTATGCAGAAATCTTAGCAGTACACAGTGCTATGATCGAGCCTTTCTCTATTGGGTTTTCTTGTGGCCTTACATATTCCTGTTTATTTCCTTCCTGAAAAAATTCGCTGTGATTCCCACCCCTCTGGATTATCAGCAGATTGCTGTAAATTAGATAACCAAGTCATAACATGTGACGGGCAACAGCCTTTTTTCTGACTAAGTTTTATTTTTTTAATTAAAAAAAATTTTTTTTAAAGTTTTTGTCTTAGTGTGCATGTGCTTGCTGGGGGGAAAGGAAGACAGAGACTATGAGAGGGAAAGTGAGAAGTCACACCCCCACCCCCATGAGGGGATGGCCACACCACAGTCACTTCTCTTCCATTCTCCTCCTGAGATCTTGGGCATGCATGCACATGCCCCTGGTGTGAGTTTCAAGTCTCTGGGTTTGGGACTCAAACTGTGGTTGGCCATGTGTGAATCCAGTGACGTAACCACTACCCCATCTGCTAGTCTCCTGACTAAATTTTTAGTGGGGCAGTTTTTCATTTCTAATCCTTTGTCCAACTCTGTTGCCTTTAAAACAGAGCCCAAATGACATGAATCTAGCTGACTTCGTAGGAAGGCTTGGTGCCAATACTGCTATATACAGAGAAGATGGTAGTCAGTGGGGCTGGTGTCATGTTGTCAATGACTGTGTGTGAGACCACTCAGTAAACTTGGGGCACCAGGAATGGCTAACAGCGTTCCAGTAGGCTACCCCTCTGTAAATAACATGTGCCACTTTGAAAGGCAGGGCAAACCTTACTCTGAGACTTTTCATGCCATTTGAAGGCAGCGTTCAAGACTGGCAGACAACATATGCATTTATTATTCTGTGTTTTAGTTATAACTTCCTAGTTATGAATCTGATAGTTTTCTGAGCAAGCTGTTAGGCATGCATTTCATTGCCTTTGAAATTATGCTAAGATGATCATTTGGCATCACACGATCATACCATAAAAATAAAGCTAGCAACCCCATTTTGTACTTTTCCCTTTTATTCCAAACACTCGGAGTTGTTCAGTCATACAAGACATAAAGCAGAGCTAAATGACAGGTGATTTTGCGTTGTTGATGTCTTCTGGCATTTAAGGTGTAAATAGGAGTCTTTTATTCTTTCCACACAGTGTTAAATCTAACCCTTATTGACCTACCTGGGATAACCAAGGTGCCCGTGGGCGACCAGCCGCCAGACATTGAGTATCAGATCAGAGAGATGATCATGCAGTTCATCACAAGGGAGAACTGCCTGATTTTGGCTGTGACCCCAGCTAACACTGATCTCGCAAACTCAGATGCACTGAAGTTGGCTAAAGAAGTCGATCCTCAGGGTGAGTATGTGACCCTTAAGGGGAGAGAGAATTAGTTTAAAATCTTAAGCATTTGGGTATATTTAAAGGTAACACAGATGCTTGGGATTTTATTTCAGTATGAATAAAATAAACCATTATTTTTGTTGTTTCAAGCTTTTGTATTTAAAATGGCAAAGGAAAAGAATAGCTAGGCAATATAGTAAAAAACACATGTAAATAAATGTAAAATTAACTGAGATCTAAGAAAACAGTCATTTCTGAGCCTCATGGGCTTCTTATTTTGAAAAAATCAGTAAAACAAACTTCTCATATAGCAGAATCCAGTCTACTTGGTTACTATGAGTTACCTGAATATATTCCCAGGAAAATAGCTTTCTGTTTTTTGTTCTGTTTCTTTAAAATAGGAGGCTCTTGGGGCCAACAATTGGCATAGTGGTTGTGTTGCTGGACTCCCACATGACTGACTGTAGTTTGAATCTTGCACCGAGCAGCTTGAAATTCACACTGTGTTCATGTGCTTGTGTCCCCAAAATCCCAGAAGGAGAATGAAAGAGAAGGGATTGTGGTGTGGCCATCCCCTTAGGGGAGTGATTTCTCACTTTCCCTCTCACTGTCTTTCTCTCTTTTTCTCTGGTGAGCACATGCTCCCTAAGGCAAAAACCTCTCATAAAAACAAAACAGAACAAAAAACAAAATAAAACTCTTTTCATATGTGTAAAATATTTAGATTATAATAATCTGAGATAAATATCATAAAAATAGGAATTGATCTGTTTTTGGCATTTTAGAATCCAGAAAATTCCTTCCTTTATGGTGGTTTTACTTTTTTCCTTCTCTGGGTCGAGTAATAACTGGTCCTTAGAGAGACCCTAGGGATGAGGCTCGATGTGAATCTATGAAGTGATTATGGACTGGCTGTCACCGATGTGTCCTGTCACTATGGTGCAATGCATTGTCTGCAATTCTAGATTGTATTATTTTCTTAATAATCAGTCACTCCCAGATTTCTGATTTCTTGATCTGAAAATCTTATTAACATCTATAACTCCTGAATTAATCCTAGCTTTAAAAAAAAAACTCTTCTGTCATCCATTTCTTTGTTTCCTTGTGTTACTTTTTGTAAGATTTACTTAATTTTACCAAGTGCTCTTCTACTTCCGATGTCATTTTAAAACCTCTAACAGCATTTTTTTTACATTGTGAATGTCATTTTTTAAAAATCTTAGTTTTGCTATAGGATATGTGCACTTAGCAGATAGAGAGAGGGAATGTGAGAAATCACCCCCACCTCCATCCCTGGAGGCAGGTGGATGGCCATGCTGCAATCCCTTTTCCTCCAATCTCCTCTCAGGATTTTGGGCATACACACACTCATTTGCACCTAGCATGATTTTCAAGCCACTGGGTCTGGAACTCAAACTGTGCTCCCAGCCATGTGGGATCTAGCTCCTTAACCTCCACGTGAGTGCTATTTTTATTTTTTTTTTAAAACATCATCTTGTTTTTGGTTTCACAAGTACAATATCTTTTCTAAGAGCTATATGAGAGCTCTTATATGCTTTGCTTTTGTGATCTACATAGTCTCTAAGTCTATTTTATTCTTGTTCTTTTGGTCTGTCTTTGGCATTAGAAACCTTTTCAAATGCTTGATGACTTTTGCTACTTGTTCATATTAAAATAGAACACTAAAAATGGATAGATGTGTATGAATGAGATTGATTGACTAAGGGATTTTGCATTGGGTAATTGGGCTGAGACCTGGCCATTTCGTTAGGAGACATCCTCAGCTGTTAGATTCTATGCATGTTTTTTTCTTGAGCTGATCTGGTGTAAGCCTCATTTCCGGTGTTATTGGAGTCAAGAGAAAGAATGGAGCTGGTTGAGGATCTAGAGTGGGGGCAGGGTTCTTACTATGTAGTATATACATTTTAAATTAATCCCTCTGCTGTCATAATGGCATTCTTAAGGATCTCCTGGAGTTCAAAGTCATTCTGGTTCAAACTTTTCTGAAAATGAATTTCCTGTACTCTGATAAAATAAATGAAAAAGGGTAGCTGTGTGGTTGTGAAAGATGGGGGTAAGGTTTTGGCCATCTACCAGTGTCTATCTAGGCTGTCAACCAGTTCTGGTTTAGTTCCTCCTGCCCCTTCACCTTGTATGCTCCAATTCTGGAGCCTTTCCAGAGTTCCTCAGTAGTAATTGATTTACTTCTTGGTTTCCTTCAACATCTGTGACTAAGACTTGGAACAAGGCAGATGGAGGCTACAGATGACTAGGTGAGGGTCATCACCAACACACTCTCTCCAGAATCAGTGACTTGAAGAAACTAGATTATACATTGGGATTGGAATCTGGTTATAAAAATGATGGTAAACCACTGCTGTCTTCACAGCCTTCTTATCCCAGGAGGCTGAACCATGGTTTTCTGATTGGGCAGATATAGGCCTTCCATCAGTAAATTATTTTGGATGCAGCATAGGTACATTCTTAAAAAAAATCCACACATGATTCAGCTGAAGCTTCATGGAGAAGTAAAAACGATATCACTCACTTCCTAATCCCCTTTTTGTTCTACTGTGTTTCTTCTTCCTTGAAATTGTTTTTCTCAAATAGATTCTCCTCATAGGTGGCAAGATGGTGGCAATTGTAACACAGTATGTTGCTCCTGCTTCACATTATTGCCACTTCAAATTTAGTATAAGAAAAGCCAGTGGAGGGACCAGCAATTGGCAGAATGGCTATGTTCTTGGATTCCCATGTAGTCGACAGCGATTCAAGTCCTGGACCCAGTAGCTTAAACTCACACCAGGTTCATGTGTGTGTGTGCCCAGGATCCCAAGAGGAGAATGGAGGAGAAGGGATTGCAGAGTGGTCATCCCCCCCTGGGAAGTGATTTCTCACTTTCTATCTCTCTGTCTCTCTCTGTCTTTCTGGTGAGCATACTTGCCCTATAGCAAAAACCTCTCAAAAAAAAAAAAAAAAAGGCCAGTCGAGAATATTTTATTCACATAGGGTATGACTTTTTAAGAAATAAAATCTAAACTAAATATTGCCAAGCCGTTGTATTCTGTAGAGTATCAGAATTCATTATCATTTTTTTCTTTGTTTTATTCATGGTAGAGTGTGTGTGTGTGAGAGAGAGAGAGAGACTAATCTGATCCTTGATATGTCTGCTAATGCCATGATCTCCTTCCTCTAGCCATCAGGATCTTGGGCATGCATAGAGTGTTTTAGGTTAGCTGGGGTGGGGACACAAACCATAGTAAGCCATATGGCTTCCAAGCACTCCAGTCCAGTACACTATAGACTGTGCCAATAGACTGAACCTTCAGTTCTTTTTTTTTTCTTTAAGGAAGAATTATTTATTTTATTTTATTTATTATTATTATTTTAAAATTTTCTGTAGGGCACATGCACTCACCAGAGAAGAGAGAGAAAAAGTGACAGACAGACAGACAGGAAAAAGTAAGAAAGCAAGTCACCAGGTGTGAGGCTCAAACCACAGTCGGCCACGTGGGAGTCCAGCACCTTAACCACCTCACCACCTGCTGGCCCCACAATTCATCCTTAAGATTGATTAAATGTATGTTATGTTTTACTTCTCTTATATAGATAGGGAACATTAATGAACAATGACTATATCTCATTCTTCAGGCTCTTCAAAAGATTCATCTGTAGCTTAAAGTAATACTTCTCTTATGATGGCAGATTATTAGATGAAAGCCATTAATGTTGGTGGAGGGAGACATTAGTTTATCAGAAGTATATCCATCTCCATCATTTCAGTGTGGTATTTACAGTGTGATGTTGCAGCGTGAATGAAATATAGCATTAACTTTTAGTCATTGGTGTATAATTACAAATCTGTGTCTAGAAAATTAAATGAGAACCTTCTGTTATTGTTGCAATTATAGAGCCCTGGCTTGTTTGTGAATTTGTTTTTGCTAGGTGACACTTAGAAATTGCCATGTGAACGTTTACAAATTTACCCAAAATGAATGAACCTCATTTATTGAGAATTATTAAGTTGTTTCTCTATCATAGATAAACCTTACTTACCACTTAAAAATATCTTGTATATGGTTTTCATACTTTGAAACTTTGGTACACTACTTAGGTATAAACAGAAAATATTTAATTCTACTCCGTGTTACCTCCTTTTCTAATGACTCCTGGATGGTGATTGGTAAGGATGAATCCACTGTCTAAAGGTTCTTATTAAGTATGGTTCTCAGATTAATTACTAAAAATTCTTTGCTAGTCTCAGAGGTTATTTATTTATTTTTATTTATTTTTTTATCCCAGTTTCAATTCTTAAACTCCAGAGCATTATCACACTTAAAAACCCTGGGAATTATCTGAAGAGTTTAGATTGTGACCAGGTCTCCTCCAGAGATCTACTCTGATGCACTGCTCTCCTGAGGCTTAAGCTGGTCCTGGAAATCAGTGTGGTTCTAAAGAAAGAGGGTGAATTATTGCCCAAATTAATAGGGTTCACATTGTGTGTCATCATTAGTGGTAGAAAAAAAGAAAAAAGAAAAAGAAAGAAAGGAATTGTAGACTCAAATCAGAACCCAGTGAACTTCAGGTTAGAATATGGTATATGATATATCAATATTTAGGGAAGACAGATAGGTATCTTCATGTATTTCTTTATATCAAAAATAGTGGGTTTTTGTTTGTTTGTTTGTTTTAAGATTTTAGCCATAGGAGGAGTGCACTCACCAGAAAAAGACAAAAGACAGTGAGAGGGAAAGTGATAAAATCACCCCACTGAATTTTTGACTTGTTAATTTTCATTTCCAGAATTTCTATTTTTTGTTTTTGTTTTTAAGCTGTTTTGCCATAGGGCCTGTGTGCTCACTGAAGAGAAAGACAGACAGAAGGAAAGTGAGAAGTCACCCCCCATTGGGGATGGCCACACTACAATCCTTTCTCCTTTCTTTTCCTTTTGGGATTTTGGACATGCATGCACACATGTCCAGTGTGATTTTCAAGTCACCGAGTCTGGTACTCAA